TATAGTCTTCGAAATATCTCTACTTCGACCTGTTGGTTCCACACAACGATCGCATGAATTCATCCTTGCAGCAGCATTAACTTCAAAGCAATCAAAAATATTTCTTGATTTGATCAATGGCAACATAACCACTGCTAGGATGAGTTTTCCACTTGCTCAATATTTACTTGCGCCTCCTAATGGCCATTTACAACCAGCTGATGCCATTAATTTGGCATTGAAACGAATTCATTCCATGAGCACATGGCAATACCATGGTGATTATTGGAGTATTACGTAAGTTTTCTCTTTCTAAACTTCTAAAACCTATAATTTTTTTTTTGAAGAGAAATTACGTAGGGTTTGTCATTTTGAAAGTTTACATCAATACATCACTTCAGATGGGATCAGAAGTTTGTGATATTTGTTGATCGAGTAGTACCATCTTGGATGAGTATTGTTGTTGGTTCAGGTGGTATGGTCGCAATGTATGTTGCTGTTATACTGGTTGTTGGTCGTTTTGTTCGTGAAATTGTACGAACGCCAATACATAAGGCCATGGTATTTTTCATCATCTTCTAAGCTTTTTCAATTAAAAAACCTGAAAAACCTGAAATTGCGATGAATTAAACTTATAATCTCAAATTCAGCCTGAATTTTAACTTCAACTCAGTATCGGGCTTGCTATTTTTTATATTCATAGAATTTTTGTATTCATCTTACTAATAATTGGAGCCAGTAAGAAAAATATTGATTGTTTTGTCTCTCATATTTTAAGCTATAAAGCTTCTTTACAGATCGAAAATATCCCAAACTGTGAGAACCTTTTACGTCTGTTCCATGACATATATGTAGTTCGCGAAAAACGTCAGTTTTACTTGGAATCACGTCTATATGGCAAACTTGTTTTTTTGATGCGATCACCAGAAACTCTTATACGCTGGTGTCGATATCGTGTGAAAGTTAAAAATGAGTGAATTATAAATTATTTCATTGAAGAATCCAAAATTCCCAAATGAACTATTACCCTCTCCGTTTATATTTTAATGTTGTAAATCAATATTTAATATGATTTAATGCTGTAATTAATGTTGTGATATATTTCAATATTTTAACGTTGTGATTCTAGGAAATCACTTAACATAGGAAAGTTTTTTTTTTTTCCTATCGTATCTGTGTTATTTATTTGTTTACTATCATTTATCAATGCTAATTTTATTTAAGTGTCTTTTATTAGTAGCAAATATAATCCACTGTGACATTCATGGGCTTTCTAATTAAAGCTGAAAAGGAAGGAGAGGATGGGATTATTTGAAGAAATTCACAGCATAAAAGATGCTATTATTAATCATTTGAAATTCACTTCACTGTTATTCTTTTCAATTGATCCCTTTGCTATTCTTGCAAGATTGAAAAAAGCATTACTTCTCGAACAGAAAAAAAATTAATAATAAAACTAAATTGCGGAAGATAACTGCTGTGCGACTAGCATGTACACAATCAAAACTTTGGAATACTTTTGCGATTTAATTGGAATTATCTTTTTGACACCAAACCTTGAGTCCTTAATCGGGAAATCTGATATAATTTAGGAATTGCAGTTATTGGTTTTTATTTTCCCTTTCAGAACGCTACAAACAATATACTTGTATGGTTTGGAAAAGCTATTTACATTTTCATGTCCAGAAGTCGATTAATTATTTCGAAAGTATTTATCTCATTAGGAAAAAAGCATGAAGACAAATAAATGACAAAGAAGCTTGAAAATAATAAAGCATGTAGTGTATAAGCAGGCGCTAGCATTTATCCAGTTTGATACTATTTTGAGTGTTTTTGAATCGATCCACTGCAAATTTGAACTTGGTAGCAATCTCTTCCGCCTGTTTTGCTTCATTTTTTCTCCCAATTCTTCAAACTACTTATTTTACAGAAGTGATAGGCAATAAAATTCTTCAGAAATAACCGTAGTAAAGAAAGATATAAGAATAAACGGATTACAGCAAGCGTAAACGAAAACAAAAGCGGATTCAACAAGAAGCTCATGAAAAAAGAATAAAAATAAGAAATTAAAAGAAGAAAATTGGAAATACTACGAATATAAAACCAGTAATTAATAGAAAACCCGGTTCAATGAAAATAAAGAATTCCAAATATTTATTTGTCATTCATTACTATAATTGTCGTTATTGATGGTCAAATACCATTTCTTACCTACTTCATATTTTCCATTCGCTCGAACTGCGCATATACTAGTGTTTCAGTCTGCAATAATAAACTATGAAAAGAGATAAATCCTGAATACTAATCAATTTTAACCAATAAAACAAAAATTAGAGGAACGTAAACTACGATAAGATTAGAAATAAATGAGAGATATGACTATCAAATAAGCTTTGCCGATTTTTGGTCAAATTTAATAATCGATAAATTTTCACAGCCATGAAAATTGTGCTATAATGTAAAGAATATTCTTTTTCAAGCAAATTTTCATGTAAAGCAAATAAAAGCAAATCATACTGGCAATTCCAGAAACTGCAAATTCGTACGACGACAACCACAAATTTTCAGATCCCATAAATTCTTCTGCACTTCTTTGCCTTCATTTGATAGTTCATTGGTGAAAATGGTCAATAAAAATTTATTTGGCCTGCAAAAAGAACTTCCAGAAAAATTGTTGAAATGACCAGCATTAAGTCAGCCATTTTACAAAGATAAAATTCAAAACAAAACTCCCGTGAAATATCAATTTTACCTTCTGAGAATTGAATTACTCCACAAATCACTCAAGTTTTAGAACACAATATTCAAAAAATATATAATGAAGACATACCTAAATATTTCCAGGACTTTCAACATCTGCTCATTCAGATTTAACGCATTCTGATTTGTCTCAAAACTGACATATGAGAAATTTGGTTCTGGTGTTACATGAATCGTTATGTAATGATCCTAAAAATTGTTGATGCTGAGTAAGTTTCAAAAACTCCGCAAATTAGGGAAAAAATTTTACACATTTCAACTTGATACTTACTGAATGCGGGATTAATCCATTTAAGCTGTAGCCACATGGACTGAACAATTCCTCATGAACGATAATACCTGGTGGTAGTACTGTATTGATGGCAGATTTCTGTAAAAAATTCATTTTCAACATTCTATCAATTTATTAAGCCAAAACAAATAATACCAAATGTAATAAAACAGGATGTAACATAGTAAGTTACTATTGAAACTTTTTCAGGCATTGAACAAAAAATCACACATTCTTCCCAGACTCTATCAAAAAAAAAAGAAAAAAGAAAAAAGAAAAAAAAAGGAAACTAAATTCAATTAAAACCAGCAATAATAAATACCATTCTACAATCATTCCCATCCTTACTCACACTAGGACTGAATACATTAAGAACATCATCTGGTAATCCATTCATAAGTATTTCCAGCGTATGTTCCGGAAATGTAAAAGCAGCCCGTGGAGTAACCATTGTATATAAAAACCAACAATCCTGTCTTTGTGGACCAATACAATAAGCAGAACCTCCTGAAGAAAAAAATGTCGAGACCAAAACATTGGAAATTAATATCACTAAACATTTCTTCATCTCAAATAACAAAAAGAAAATTAAAAAAAAAAAAAAAAATCAATTAGTTACACTGAAATTATTTAACAAATAGCATCATTTATACATACCTGTGAAATGTTCCTCAAGATAATCAACTTCAGTTTCAAACGAGGAATGTGGATAAGGCTGTCTTTCAGGATGCATAAAGTTCTTTCTTGAATAGAAGACACTGATAACATTATCCATATTGCAATATATCTTAGCAAGATGTAAAATCCGTCTTAATGTGTGAAGTAACCGTGTCGTACCACATGTCTTCAAAACGATGCGGAAATCCGAAACAAACATACTACTTTCACTGAAAATTTAGACTTCTCGACTTTTTATAATCTAGTTTTTCATTTTTTATGGATAGTTTCATATCAACAATGTGTCCGCAAAATTTATCAGCCAATAATAATGCTTGATTTTTAAACTTTCTAATTTTAAAAACTTTGTAAGAAATAGGAAAAAATAGAAATTTTAAACTATAGAAACTAATAAACAAATCAATTTTAAAGAAACAAACATTCTGGAGCAACAATAATCTTAATGCTTTAGCTAATGCAAAATATGAAACATTTCAATATTCAAAAAACTTTTATGTAATTTACTACCTCAAAACATAGCTATCCATACACTCATTGCTTTTCGAGTGTAAAATATGACAGTGAGCGATATCCAACATAGCAACTAATTCCGAATATGGTATGTTTCTCAAGGATGTAGCACCTGCCTGCTTCTTATCAAACCATATTTCTAGTAATTTTTCAGCGCCTATAAAAAATGACTACATTTCAAGTTATAGGAAATCATCGTCATTTCTCAGTGTATCGAATTTTCACAATGAGCCTAAATAAATGATTTTGAATTTTTGATTAAAAGCACTTCTTCATAGTAGAAATGAACTTGCAACTTCGAAATTCTTAAGTTTGAAAATTATGTCTCGTGCATTTAAGCTTCAAAGTAGATTTGCTAAACCATAATAATTTTTGAAGCTTAGTCATAATGATGTTTTGAGACAAAAACCGAACCTTCAAAAAAATAATCTTCAATAGCACCAGATACATCTTCTATAGCAAAAGCATTTTCATCAACGGAATCACCAGACAGAGTAGAAGTTGACATGCTACAACATCAAACTTATTAAAATCCTTTCATTTAATGATATATAATCTCCATACAATCGGTTGCAATTCGTTAAATATAATTATTATATATGTATTATATAGAAACCTAACTTTATTCAGTATGAGCTTTATTTGGCCTGCAGACAGTATCTGCAGACAGCAGCAAATAATCTAAGTTTTACTGAAGATTCGTAATCAAAATAACAAACCTTTTGTAAAAATGTAAGATTTATCTGCTTGTTTAGACACGGAATGAAATATAATGAGAAAAGAAATGAAAAATTGAGACCCGCTAGGGTGGCCGGCGATGGTGAAAAATAATGATGATTTTACACGGATTATTCATAAAACAGTTCTGAAAAAAAGTCAACTGAATTAAATCACCTGAAAGTAATCGAAATAATCAAAGATGATATTGCAATAAAGCGATATTCCCTAATATAATTTACTTTACAAGCATTTATTAAAGAATAGTTTAAAAACTCATATCTTATGTTCACTCACAACTATAATTGTGCAGGAACACAATCCAGAATAGAACAGCATGCCTAATACATCACCTTTCTATCATAAAATTTTCGAAGATGAATCGTCCCCTTGACAATAAAGAAGTATTCAACACTGATTTTGTTTCGTGACCTTGCAAGACCTGATGAAGCGAAATTTTCGACTGTAACAAAAACGAATGACTAAATTTAATACCACACACAGAACATTTAAATCTTTCCAATAACATTTGATCATCTATAATTTTATTATGAAACATATAAAAATCAAAGAACATTTTTCCCATACAAATTAGATATAAGCAGGTTAAGAATTCAAATCGCCGCAAACAATTTTTGAAATTTCAGTTCAAAGATTGCTTGCAGTGAAGAGCTGTAAATTTTTTGTTTTATCTTTGAAACCATTATGCAATTTATTTTCTAGTTCCAAATAGCTTACTACTTCACAAAATGATTTTATAAAAATTAATCTAACAGTCATATATATCTAATAATCATCAACATTACTACCTTCAAGTTTCGATAATGGCTTCCTCCGTACTTTCTTGATGGTCAGATCTTTGAGTAGTTGAGCTGCGCTTTAAAAAAAAAGAAAAAAAAAACTATAAATAGAACTGGAATAGCAGGGATCGTCGAAACTTAACAAACCTGGACAACTCAAAAGATCTGTTAATATGGGACAAATATAAAAATGAGATCAAGCTAAGCACAGATGATGTAGAGGAAAGAAAATGTATTCTTTTCATTATTTTTGCATAAATTTAAAGTAAAATATTCAAAAATGTGAGCCACTTAGTTTTTTATCTCAATGTTAACCATTAAAATAGCCATATCACTAGTCGGTGAAATATGCATCTGGCTTTTAGATTTTTAATTCATTTATCAAAATTCACTGGAATTTTTGTAAAATCTGAATACAAACAAAAACTGAATTAGAATTAAAATAAATCAGCATGATTTTTTAAGGAAGCTTAAGTTTTCTAAAAAAAGAGTTTCTATACTTCAAACTCAATCAAGACTTCGCTGCAATATAACACAGGTTCTCAAATATCCTAAAGGCAAACTTGCCTTATATGTTATCAAACCTATGAACGATAGCTGCAATCGCCCACTGATAGAGTCACGTAAACTTTCGAGTTCGAAATCTTCAAAAAATTTTCCCAATGTGTTAAATTTATTCCTAAAACTTTCATAGTTAAATCTAACAAGTTCCACTACACTTGAATTCGTAAAAAATTTACAACTAAATCTATACAAAAACTAGTGAAATTCAAACCAAAAACACCTTCTAATTCTCTTTCCATCATTCTAATTTTTTTTTCCAACAAACTAACCAGGCACTTATTGTATCGTTTTTTGTATGCACAAGCAATGAATCGTCTCGACATACACTATCTTCAAATAAAGTCCTTTCAATGATTTTTATTGGTATCTGAAATAGTCAAATTCGAACAGTCAAATTCTATCACAAGAAAAAAAAAAACTGCAACTGTCTTTCGACAAATTTTTCAATGTTAAAATAAGTGTGTTTCACGATATCTTCACTTCTTTCAATCTTAGAATGAAAAAATTCATGGAGTATGAGTCATTGACGAACCAAATACTACTTCAGCAATCTTCTACCTGTTGCTGAAATACAATTGAAATCAAATATTTGACCTAAACATATATATAGAATAGCTAGACTTATAAGGAAATAAAAAATTAAACATATCAAATTATGACTCATGTACGTGCCTCAAATAGGAATAAACTTCTCAACAGTTTCTCTCATATGTACTAATAATGATAATATAAAAAACACATATATCCGAAATATTTTTTATAAAATATTTTGATGTTTTGCAACATACAGGTAAAAAAAAAAATATTTCGAACATATTTTATGTACATAGATCGCGTATTAGCATATTTTTAATATATTTTAAACTTTCCGTATAAATAATTCATATATTTTCATTATACAAACTTTATAGTAATTAAATTACAAAAACAACAAGAATGATAATTCATTACGATCTGTATATTAACAGATAAACTATTACGTATTTATGCTCTCTTATCATTTTTAAAAAAATATTTTTCTAAAGAAATATTTCTAAAAAATATTAGAATGTAGTGTAATTTACTAATGAACTAAGGAAATATTATTGCATAATGTATCAATATGATAATAAATAGTAATCTAGAGTTACGTGAGGAAGCGTGAACATACACGTAAGTAAGGTGAAATAATTCTCCAAAACAGTTGCATTATTCATAAAACAAAAGTTGACAAAAAATGTCTGTATAGCGAGCTCTTCCGTTAATGGGGTGTGGCATTATATTGTTTTTTCAAAATACAATTTTCAAAATTAAAAATTAAGATTATAGATTTCTATATTCATCAAAATATAGCAGTTCTAGATTTGAGACGTATATTTATGAATGAATTTTTTCCAATTGTCATTTTCTCTTTCAGTTATTTGCAAATGATAATAAAAAGATGCGAAATAAATAATTGCTTAACTAAAAATTGATTAAAATTTGGCGGGAGTCATTTATCAAATTCTCAATTTTATTTCTTTTATTTCAAATTAATTTCTTTTTTTTTTTTCTTCTAAAAAGATTCGTTTGGGATAACAAACAATCTTTAATAATATTTAGAAAGTTTAATTTTATATGGCGAAATAAATATTTTTACTATTTATTCAGTTGTTCAAAACGATGAAAAGTGATGTTAATTGAAAGATTTCAACCATTTGGAAATACATACTTCAAGAAGTAAGATTTATGTTTGTATTAAAACAAAAAAAAAAAAAAAGTAAGTTAAAAAAGTTCAAATTATTGATAGTATAATATATTTAAATTATGATTTTACACTTATTTTATTCTACAATTCTGTAAAATTTTGATTGTTTTGTTAACTTTAATCACTCCAACAAAACAATAATACTTTTTTTTTTGACTGTTGTAAAAGAAAAAAAAAACAATTTTCTCAAATACATTTATGTTATAAGGGGAAAGAAGATAGAAAAAATGCATATAAAATTACTCACATGAAAAAAGCTAAGCAATAAATATACTAAAAGCTTTTATTTAAGCAACACACAACAAACTACTAGCACACATGAAAAAATGAAATAATATAAGTGCAAATGTCCGATTTATATACATAACGAAAGACAAAACATTTTGCACATACATGGCGCAAAAGTATCAGAACAGAACAATAATTCAACTTTTTATTGTAAGAGAGTATCTAATAGAGAATGTTGGCGCTTGATGATTAAAAAATGACTAAAACATACTCACACACATACACATACACAGGCATACATACACATACACACACACACACACACACATACACACATATCATCGATTTTCTTCCTTCAATATTTTTCCAACTTAAAATGACCTTTGCTAATTATTTATCGATTGGGATTTATTATATGTACTATACTCTCAAACTATACCATAGAATTATAATTATAGTGAAAAGCATAGAAATTATAAAGTTAGTTGTATTTAATTATGTAACAAAATTTTTATATTTCTTCCTTTATTCTTGCATAGATAATTTATTACAAAAATTTACAAAATTACTTTTGTATCAGTGAAAGTGGAAAAAATGAATTAAAACAAATGGATTTATCAGTATTTATCAAAGCATTCATTTAAATTCAATAATACTTTCTTGTATTCATTAACATTGATTGTTATTTATGTGAATTGAAATTGAAATCAGCAAAGTTTAGACAGTTGACTTTCAAATTTTTTAAATGATTAAACCTTCTCAAATCCTTTCAGATCTTTTTTTTCTTTTTTTTTTGAAAACAATGCAAGAAATTGTTAATTAATCGGTTATTTTATTTTATTCTGTTTGTTAGGAATGTTTGAAATACTTTCTATACATGCTGGCTTTGTTGCATTATTTTCACAAATTTATGAATTTCTTAACAAATTTGTACAGGAATGCAGGGATATACTCTGTTTTAATCAATTAATTTAAGTTTTACAGGAATGCAAGAATATGCAACATTGATAGTAATGTCAACCCGAAATAATTAATAGAATCACCGTTTTCATATCAATAAAAGGTTTTCCATAACGTACAAGCCTGAAATGAGTTAATTTTAAAAAATAAAACATTCTTAAATAAAATTAAAAAAAAAAATATTCTTAAAAATTACATAACTAAAAAAAAACAAAAACAAATGTTTGGTAAAACAAAATTATTTCAGTCAAATGATGAATCAAATCATTTTGATTTAATGCTACACAGTTGAAAAAACAAGATGGAAAAACTTCAATCTTTTAGAAAATTCCTGAGAATTGTTATGAATGTTTTTGTATTATGTGATAATCTTTAAACAAATAATACTTTCAGATGGATAATGCTTTGACTTAAAAGATGTAAGACAAGTCAAATAGTTTCCTACCAGATTATGGCCTAAATTAGTGAAACTATTTGGCCTAGTTGGTTGTCTCGTTGCACCAATTTCATCCAGAATTGGTGAGCGCCTTCTCGATCGTCGTTCACTTTTGCAACGTTTCCTGAAAAAAATTTTATTTTTAAACTTATGATAGTATCTCAATTTAGGAATAACATAAAGTAGAGCAAAGCTAAAATAAAAGATTGAAATCAGTACCAACTTAAAAGCTCATAAAAAGAATTTTCTAGAAATCCAATCAATAAAACTAGATTTTTACACTATAACAGTTCGATGTAGTAATTTCTTTTTTTTTCAGGATATTTTTCAAAATAATTTTTCTTTTTAAAAAATAAATTTTTTTTTTTAAGGATATTTTATTCTTTCCAACAAACAAACCTCTCTTTATCTACTTTCTCGGTGATAGGTTGATCAAAGAGGTGCTTGATATCAGCATCCAACCACGATTGTCGTCTAGTTTCGAGTGATGATGACGGCTGTTGTTCATCTGATATATCGCTGGCATTACCTTCAAAGAAATGTTTCGTAGGAAATTTGAATTTTAAGGAAAATCAGAGATAACATTGAATGACATAACATATTCAGTACATTGATCAAATCTTATGTTATTGCTTGCTTGCTAGTACGTAAACAAAAATTTACTGAATCTACTCCCACATTTTTCATATCAGAGTAATATATCAGGACATGGAAAAAAAAAGAAATAATTACATTTGAGGAAATTTGAAAGAGTGTTAAAAAAGAATTTGCAAATTTCTCAATTACCTAATTTCAGTGACAGATTTGATTCCAAAGAACTTTTGCTACCCATTTTAGAACTGATACTGGTACGACCTCGATCCTCCAAACGGCCATCTGCGGACAGGAATGATATCTTTCTCAAACTGTAAGTTTTAAAAAGTACTAGAAGTTTCTTTTTTAATTTGGAAAAATTTTTCCATTTTATTCATGTGTTGCCTAAATTTAATTTTCGACATTAAGTTGTGTGGCTTTAAAGATAAAATTAATGGAAAACTAGGAGAAAACAATTAATCTTTTGAGAGTTGATAGTCATTCATTTTATAGGAATTTGTGGATAATGAAAACTAAGCATTTATGCTAACAGATGTATTTGAAAAACATTAGAAAAAAAAAATATCCCCTAACATCAATAGTCAGTCTATTGCTATCCTTGACAGCCATTAAGCGAATAATTAAACGGAACAATTTAGTATCATAGACCATTCTCAAAGGAGCTGTTACTTCTTCATTTATTTTTATCATTGTATCTCAAATGAGAGCACCTTTTATGACTAGATAATGATGATAAAAGTAATTATCACCTTGAATCATATCCATAACCAGAACAGGTAGGTCTTGCAGTAGTGATCATAACGAGAGGTAAATGACTGCTACTCATACTTACTCGTCGACTGCTCATTTTTCTGTACATGAATTTATATTTCAAGATTTAAAATTAAGTCTAAATTGTTAATTAGTAATGAAAATTAAAATAAAAGCCAGATTTGGTCATTTATATATGAATCATGAAACAAAAATCAACTTTCCTAATTATTATTTTTTTTTTTTTTTTTGATTAGAGTGAATTAAATTTTTTTGGAAGCAAAGGCACCTTATAAAAGAAAAAAGTCTTCCTTAAACTAATATTGTTGTATTTATTTGTACTTAGAATGTCATCAAAGCTTACGCAAATGATGAAAGAGAATTTTTATTGGCTGAATCCATCTCTGATTCTGTATTTCTCAAGTGTTCAACTATATCAATTAAAATTCGCACTGTATTGATCAAATCTTCAAACTGTGTCGTTTTGAGACCATTTGAAGCTAATGCAAGCGTTAGTGGATTCAACAGATGAGTACAAATTACAGTACGATCACGTAAACGTGTAGCATCACACATTAGTATTCGTTGTACCAAACCTCAAAATTGATACTTATAAATTTCGCATATTAATTTAATTCTTTTCTTTTTTCTTTTTTAAATCAAAATCTCAGTAGAAGATCTCGGATCATTAATTTATAATGATAACGGCGAAAATTTTTGTATATGAGGAATTAGGGTTTCATTTAATAAATTAGACCACAAAGGGAATATACGTCAAGTTGTAAACTTTTCCGTGATTCAATTTTTCCATTCACGAAATGACTACTATTTTAATGATGCGACTTATTCAAAGTAATATTAGCACACGTGATACTGTATATATGATAGCGTCGTGTTTCATATTACACATTCGTATTGTTGCAATTAACGTATACAGTATATTTGAATCGCAACGATCTGATAGCGCTCCAATACAAGCCAAAAAATCCAATTGTCTCTAAAAAGAAGAAAAAAAAATCATTCATCTCTGTAATCTTTAAATCTAAGATTAAAAAATTTTGAAATTTCATCTTTACAGTATTGCAAACGTTTAAAAGATAATATAGTATCTGAATATGAATAGCAAAGACATTGTCTGATCAGTTAGTGTGATAATTCAACAAAATCAATAAATCAATTAATGAGTTCATTTTTATATTTTTTCAGGAAAAAAAAAAAGAAAAGAGAAAAAAACGTTACCGAAATACTGTTATTAAGATATAATGAAAAATATTTAAGCGAAGGAATAAGTCGATTTGAAAGGAACCATTTGGAAAAAAATTCAGCTGTTGATGGGATGCTACGAATTACTTTATCCTACAAAAATGTATGTATTAATTAAGAAATGTTTTTTTTTTTTCCCAACAAATATTGTTAAACATAATATTTATCAATATATTAAATAAATGAAAAGTAAAATAAACGAAAGAGTGAAAAGATTAAAATACGAATGAAACTTTAAGATTATCATAAATTAATAAAAATTACAAAAAAAAAATTCAAATTATTTTTACCTGAATATGAGTATCTTGCGATTTAATACACATAACAATTAAATCCTGTATTTGATCCTCTATTTCTTTATCATTAGACATACGTCGAAATAATACATTCATATTCTCCAAAATTAAAGGTGTTAGCTAAAAATTTTACTTATTTCATCAAACGATAAATAAGTAAATAATTGATCATTCAACAATTTCATTTTATTAACAATCAAACATGCAGATAAGATAAGAATTAGAATAAAATGTTACAGTAATATCAAATTATTACGGTATAGTTGAGCCTACAGTATGAATAGGAGAAAAAAAGAGGCTACAGTATTAGTAAGAAAAGAAACCGTGCAACGGATAGCTTGATATACAATTCGATGTATCCATGATTTTAGCTTAATTATATTATGACTTTCACATTGATCTAACATATAGAAAAGTGGACGAGATAAGGCAGCATATAAATCATAGCAATCGATAAAAAATTCATCAAAACGTGGTAATATCCTTACAAACCATAAATTCTAAAATATAAATTGGCTTTTTAATTAATTTTCAAAAAATTTACTTGTATATATTATATATATATTTTTTTTGCTTATATTTGCTTATATTGATTATTTGAAAAATCTTTGAGAAATGTTCATCTCCTTTTTTTCTTTTTTTTTTCAGTAATATTTCCTTCATTTTCGAGAAAAAAAAAAGACAGATTATTTCCATACTTCCGGAATAAGTGATAGATTATCATAAAGAGTTTGCGATAAGAATACATTCTTTTGTTCCGGATCAAAAACTTGCATAATATCATCAAGTTGACGAAGTGTAGATAGTGCTGGATCATCAAAATATTTGATCTGCAATTTTATATTAAAATAGAAAACATAGAAATTGAATGTAGCATTAATTGCATAGTAATAGTAAAATCTTCTAAAATACAATATCTTAAATTTCAAATTAGCAAATTCATTCCTAATTAGCATTAATGACTTTAGGAACATTGAACAAAAAAAAAAGAAAATTATTATCAACCAAGGCAAGAAATTGAACAGTGGGACGTTTGTCAACATCTAAACTGAGTACTTTTTCCATGGCATCCAATAAATTTGGTCCAAGTTCATCGGCAATACATTTCAATGCCGTATCAAGCTGTAAAAAAAAAAAAGAAAAATCAATCAGATCAATTTGAAATAAACCTAATTTTAATTTACTAATAAATAAAAGTAGTGAAACTCAAGTAGTGAATATGGATGACAAGAAATAATAATTACAATGAATATTAATAATTAAAATTAAGTGATAAAGTCATACTTTATTATTTATAATCAAACAACTAGCAAATTCTCATTAATCAATTTTCTTCAAAAGACAAAAAAAAAAAATGATATTCAAAAGATATTTATGGATAGAGATTTAAAAATTAGTCAATTCTTTGAAATTATTCTACAAGTTGAAAAATGATACTGATTTACAGACATATTTTAATTAACCAAAATATAAATTTTAATCATTCCAAAGACAAATTAGAATAGGTCTTGTCAATTAATTTATATTCGCATTTCGTTGAGAAATCCAAATTTTCATTGCGTACAAAATTAAATATTTTTTTTTTTTGCTTCTTTTCATTAATTTTGTTTGTAAAATCATCAAATTTTTTTCAAGTTAAATTATCAGTTCAGAAAATGAAAAATTTGGAAATAATGATAATTGATAGTTTTAAAGTGCAAAGTTATTAGTTCCAGAAGTGAAGAAGAATTTTAAAATTGTATGATAATTGGTAATGAAGAATGGAGATAAAAAAACATTCTTAGAATAATTTTTTTCATCAAAGATTTTTTAAAACCTTACATACTGAAAACTTATGAAATTAATTCTAGCTGTCAACAATTTGGGTTTTGTATAGATGTATGTCACATAGAGCCAAGTGCCAAATGTTGAATAAGCAAAGGATTAGTCAACCTATGGTACTCATCAATGATCGGTCAATCGATTGCTCACAAAATGATAATCCTTGATCAACCAACCGATCGATCAATCGGTCAGGATTTTTTCTTTCTTTTTTTTTGCATTAGGCTGGGATATTTGTGGCCACTATTATTAGCAAAAAAAAAAGGTTTTTCTACCAAATAAGAAATCCAAAAAAAAAATAAAAATCAGTTTTTAGATTATATCAATTCTTAGTTCTTAGCTAACAAAATGATTGGAAATAGCATTTTAATTAAAAAATAAAAATAAAAAACAAAATTAAATTACTTGTCCACAAATTACACGATATGTATCGATATTGTTTTTAGCATCAATTAATCGTTTTCCTCCTAAATGTATAATATCTTTAGAAAATAATTAATTAAATTTTGTGTAGAATTTCTTTTTTTCTTTTTTTTTTTCTGACTTCAAAATTTATTTTGAAAGAGAGAAGCAAGTAATCATACAAAAATTTATTTAATCTAGCATATATTTTCTTTCTTTTTTTTTTTTTTTGTTGATAAATAAACGAAATTATCAAAGATTTACTAAAAAACAAGTAATTTTATAACTATAAGTTAATTTGAAATTCTAACAATTTATGGCGCAAATTTATGTCCTTCAATTTAAATTTCAATATATTAACTATTGAGATAAGATCGCATTTTCATGTGGTTTTCATAAATATTTTTATTTTTTCAAATTTTAAATGCCAAAAGTAATTGCCAAAAATAAATTTAATCAAATATTCTAAACAAAATAAAGCAATTAATATTGTCTATATTAACTTGAAATTATAGCTATATTTATCATATTTATTGCCTCTAACTAAAAGTGGGAAAAACTGAATTGAAACAACAAAAAATAAAAAAAAAAAAGGATGGAAATTAAATTTTAGAAAATATACCAGAACATATCCAGCAAATTAGTACACCTAACGAGAAAACATCTGCTGCCGAAGTGACCAAATTCTTATTTGCTAGCAAATATTCCGGTGCCAGGAAATCAAGATCCGGTTGCAAATGAACTGATAGCTTTTTGGTCCAAGGAAAACATGGAAATACATTCTGTAAAAATGCTTCTTTTAAAATCTTATCTTTAAATTCTAGACTAACACACTTCTAATTTCGATATAAAAAAGGAGAATTTTCTTTTTTTTTTTCCTTTTTAATTTATAAAATTGAATTTCATTTCTTCATTGAAATAGCACATATTAACCATACATTTTTTTTTTTTTATTCTCCTAATAAAACATTTTAAAAAATTTTATAAATGATGTAAGATGCAATGAAATATACTGTTATTAGTGCTGAAATAAAAAAAAAAAAAAAAACTTTTCATTCCCTATTATTTTAATCATTCATCAATCTTTTGATGATTTTACGTCATCACACACGTACGTGTAAATAAATTATTGTTATAAGTGAAATTGTAAACAAAAAAGTTACCAAAATGAAAAAGACAAAAAATCACAGATAATAATATTAATAGTAGTAATTATTACAAATTCCATTATATCATTTCGAGAAAAAAAAAAGAAAGAAATAGGATGAGAATTATAATATTTTCATCATTATTTAAGTTAGATTTTTTTTTTTCTCAAATTAACATTTCATTTAGTAAAATTATATTTATTGCAGAACAATTATCATTTTTGCTAGAAGTAAAAGTTGCTTTATTTACTAATAAGCTATTCAACTATTTTATTTTGCATAATGATTTGAAATTTTAAATAATAAAATTTTTTCTTTGCTTTTTTTTCAAAATTAAAAAAAGAAAAAAGCAATTTGAAATAGTTTAGGTGTGTCTAGTGACTTTACATTTACATGAAATGAAATACTATGAATAATTATTATGTTAATTAGTTTCAAGAAATTATTTTGATCTTTTTCTCCAAGATTATTATTTCTTAGTGAGTTTAATTCGATATATTTTTTACTTATCTTAGCATTTTTACTAAAAATTCATAAAGTAAGGAATTTAAATTAATAGTAAATTAATAAACATTTAATCATTATTTTTATGATAATTTGCTATTTTTGAAAATGATTTTGATAAGCTTACCGGTTCTCGAGCAGCAACCGAAAATGCAAATCCGGCAATTTTCCAATGTCTTGAAAGTGTTATATAGATAACACTTGGTGTTAAATTACCATGAAGTATTTTTGCGCTATTATGCAAATATGATAAGCCATCAATTAGCTAAAAATTGAAATTGTCTTTTTTTTTCCTCTTCAAAAGAATTTAAATTAAAAATTTAAAAATCTTTCCTCCTCAGATAAATATTTAGCTTAAAATGAATTCTAGTAGATATTGTTGTCTTTTTCTTTTTTTTTTTGACCAACAAAATTTATAACAAAGAGAGAAACTTTTCGTTTCTTTTCAGATCTAAAAATTAGTTAATTAGCATAGATTTTGTCATTTACAATTTTCTATACATTAATTCAAATTTTTCAGTTTCAATTAAAAAATTTCAAATTCATTTATTGCATATTAAAATTTTCAATGCATTAATTAATAGCCAATTGTTAGCTATCAAAATTTAACACATAAATGTTTAGAATTAAAATTACAAATTGAAAAAAAAAGGGAAAAAATGATATTTGGTTGCAAAAAAATACCTGCAAAATACCAAGTTTCATTTCTAATCTACCAAGTCCATCCTCAAGCATTGTCACCTCCAAATTTGCTTGAATATGTTCCGAGGCAAAACTTATCATCTCTCTAGCAAAATAATTCATAAAGTATAAAATTTAAAATGAATTTTCATTCTTTTTTTTTCTCTATAAAATTAATTAATCTAAAATTAAAGTCATACATTAATGCAATAAATTGAAATCAATTAATCAATATAGTATTATCTAAAGATAAAAATCTCAAAAAAATATTTTATAATTTCATTAAAAGAAAAATTTTTGTCATTTTTTAATCGAAAATTTTTTTTTTTCAAAATTTTTGAGAGAATTTTAAATAATTACTCTCTTACTCACTTATTCTCTTCAATATCGTGAAGAATTTGTAAAATTCGTGGATGAGCAAGTGATGATAGTTGTGAAATGTCATATCGAATAAGATCAATTAATGTAAGACGATTACCACTTCCTAGTCGTGATGGTGCTTTCACATTATCTTTTCGATTAAAAATAAATATTGTCACATCCTAAATTAATTTCTCAAACTTTTTTTTTTTTTGTTTATTTGAAGAAGTTTGTTTGCTTTTTTTTTTTTTTCTCACACAAATGATTTTAAAAAATTAATTAATATTATTATTATTATTTTAATCATTTAATTAATATTTTAAAATAAGAACCTTATCATCGGTAGTACATTTTGCTGAATATAATTTCCAGTAACCAGCAATTGATCGTAAATTTAACTGATAGTAGAAATTATCGAGTGGTGTTAAAAGTGCTGCAACCGTATTCGTAATCGTTTGATTGTGTTCAGTTGATGAGAATGCCGGAAATTAGCTTTAGTGCTTTAATGATATTGATTTTATGTTTAAATTTTAAAATTAAAATTTAATTTTAATTTTGAACATTATAATAATACAATTTTTATAATTGCAAAATTGTTTATGCATAATTAAGTATCAAAGATTTTAAAAATAATTTCTAAGAATTGAAAATTTCTTTTTTTTAAAAAAAGAAAACAAACATCTGCGAAATAAAAAAAAAAAAACAAAACATTCCTTTTATTTTAATATGAAATTCGAATGTGAAAAAAAAAACAATAATTAAAAGAGAAAAGAAGAAGCATTAATTCAGAAAGAAAAGAATAAAAAAAGAAAATGAAATTTTTATTAAAAATTAAAAAGAAAAAAAATTTAGAAAATATAATAAATATAAAATTGTTGCAAATAAAACTATTAGTATAAAAAGAAAAAAAAAATGATTTTCATAACAATAAAAAAACATTTAATCAAAGATTTAAATTGTCAGTGAAATCTTTGAAGATTTTTTCATTCATATTAAGCTGATAATTTGATATAGATTTTGATAAATTTTACAATTAAATTAAAAAATGGAAATAGAATGGTAAACAAACAATATAATAAATAATAATAAGATTAAAACTTATTGCTATGATCGTAAACAGTGAATCGAAAAGATAAAAGATAAGAAAAATTCAAAAAGTAACTTTTTTGATTATGATATTATCATGATAATGATAAGATAAATGTCTCAAATGCTACAATTCATAGTATTTTTTCTAAAAATTAATTCACGTAGCAAAAAAAAAGAAAAGAAAATTTTTTTTTTTTCATTTATTTCTGAAAATTTTGTTATGAAAAAATTAACAGATGAATAAATTTTTTTTATTATTAAATTATTAAAATCAATAAACTCCGTAAATGTATGAGAAATAAGAATCGACCAAAAGATAAAATTATTAATTAATTAATTAGACACCAAATTATTGACCATTTCCATTCACTTTTACTTTGAAGAGGAATCATAATAGTAAAATATTTATAATTCAATATTGAAAAATAAATTATAAAGAATTTTAATTAATTTTCTGCCAAATACTTTTTTGATATTCAAATAAACAATTAAGTAAGAAATTTTATCTAAAAGTTTTTATATTGAATTCTTCGAGATATGCGGTCACACACGCACATATATATAGAATACAACAAACACATATCAGATGAAAATTTTTAATAGCTCTAAATAGCTAATTGATATTTGAAAAAAAAAAAAAACGAAAGAAAAAGTAAAAAAAAATTTATTTATTAAATTTTGAATAATTTATTGTAATTTTATTTTTATTTATTATAAAATGAAAAAAATTATTTAAGTATTATTCAATTGAAATTAATAAAAAATAAAAAAAAAATTAGAAGGCATATTTTTATCTTTTTTTTTCCTTGTTGATAGAAAAAATGAAAGTTTTATTTAGCATTTTAATATTTGTCTTTCATTTCTCGAGAGAATTGCTTTAAAAAAAAAAAAAAAAAATCAATTTTTTTTTTTTTTGCAAAAACTTTTGGTTTGCATAGTTTAAAAGATTGAGAAAAGATGAAAATAGCAATTAGCAGTAGCATTTAATGCATTAATGAATACATTTAATAATTATAAGAAATAATTTTGCTTATAATTTACCTTTGTTTAAGTAAATTAATGTGACATATTGAATTGATAATTTCAAATTTTAGATTTATAATGTATTTTTGAATTACTTTTCACTAATAATAATAAATTATAAATGGAAAAAATGAAAAGAAAGTATTCACATTTTTTTTCTTTTTCTTTTTATTAACAATCGTTGTTAAAATTGTCACAAAAATCTTTTAAGCATTAAATTTGAAATTGAAATTAAAAGAGAGAGCAAATCCAAATCAATTGGTTAAAAGAAAAAAGAAAAGAAACATACATTTTAAGTAATTAAATTCGGTTATTATTAAATATAATGATGAGATGGTTGTCAAGACAACTAATGCATACATTTCTATGTAAATTTAAGATGCATGCAAATATTTCATCCTAAAAATATGCTATGAAACTAGAAAGTATTAATAAAGCATTTAAAAAAAAAAAAAAACTTTTCAATTACATTATTTTAAATTAAAAGTATAATTTAGAAATTATTAACATAATTTTTTACTTTCACTTTTTTTTTAAACTATATTATCGGATAGTAAAACTATTATTATCATCAAATATGACTTATTCAGACATAAACAAATTTCAAATTGTTTATTCAAAATGAACAAAATTCTTGAATTAAGTCAACAATACGGTGTTATTAAAATATTACTTTAAAATATCAAATAAGAAAAAAAAATTAAATAAATTATTCTATTAATTAATTCATTTATATTTGTAATATTCTATTTTTTGCAAAGTGTAGAAAAGTTTAAATTTAAATTCTTCTCTCTTTAAAAGTTTTAAATTTGTTCAGAAGTGATTAATTAATTCATTAATATTATATACAATAATAAAACGAAAAGAAAAGTAAAAAAACAAAAAAAAAAGAAAAAATAATGAATTTTATTGTTATTCATATAAATGAACGAATAATAAATAAATAATAAATGAAAATAATTTTCGAATATTACAAAACTTTTTTTTTTCTTTCTTTTAAAAGCATTGCTAAAATTAAAAAAAAAAAAAGAGAACCTGCATAAGTGAAAGTTGTTGTTTGAAGAAGAAGAAGAAGATGATGGAAATTATTGGTAGAGTTTATCATTTAGAAAATATTTGTAATATATTTTCAAGTACAAAATATTTAATTAATAGGAGAATAAAAATTGAAATGAGTTTTAGGTAATTGTATGCTTTAGCAAAATAATAGGTAATAAGCATTCATTTTGCAAACTTTTGCAAAACTACTAATTAAGACTAATTTAAAACTTTTATAATATTACATCAGATATGCTTTTCGCCATTTTTTAGCCTGATTTACCCATCATTTTTCCCTGAAAATAAATTATTTTTTAAATTATTAAAAGTTGTTAACAGTAATTTGAAAATGACATTTTGTTTATTTTGGACAACAATGAATGATTTTCAATATTTGATTTAAATTATTATTTAAAATGTAGTAAAACTTTAACTGCTATCATTATACAATTACTCTGAGAGTCTGAAATTTTTTTTCTTATTGTATTGAAATTAAATATTTTATAAAATATTTGTTTGTTTAATATTAATTTCATTTTTTTTAATTTCATTTTTGATTTCTTAATATATAAAGATTAAAATGATCTTTTAATGAGAATATTTATAAAAATTAATTTAATGACTGCTAATCGTTCAAATAAAAAAATCAAATGATAAACAAAAAAAAAAAAGAAAAAGAAAAATTCATTAATTTAATTCTCATTCAGTTCTCTTATATAATAGTTTAAAAAAATGCTGCTAAAATGGATGAATTCAATATTTTTGAAAAATTTATAAAATAATTTAGCTAAGCTAATTTATTATATTTAGAAATATAATTTTCAACTTATTATATTTTTTAAAAAAATTTCATATAACTTCCTAATGTTCTCATAATCGAAATAACAGAAGTATTGATGAATATGAATGCTACATAAAATAAAAAGGAAAGGATAATAATATGAAAAATCAAAATTCAACTTTATGGCTTCAACTTTTGGTCTCAAAGTTTTTACATCTATTCATGCATTTCAAATCAATGAACACTGCCATACGTATATTATCAAGTAAAATACTCCATTTAACATCTCTCTCCCTCTCCCTCCCTCTCTCTCTCCTTCTCCCTCTCTTCTTTTCTCTCCCTTATAAGCACTTTTAAAATAGTGTCAACCTATTTCACTTATCACTAATTCATGTCAAAGATCACCAATAAATTGCAATTATCTGATTATTATTAAATTTGATCACTAATCAATCAAATAGTTACATAATTTAATTTAACATAAGCTTCCAAAACAAAGTCGAAATTATTTTTTAAAATGGTAAAACTATTAATAAAAAAATAAATTAAACAGTTGTTCAATTATTTTATTCAAAATAAACTTGTAAAAACATTTGATTTCAATGCATTTCTAATCATTCCTACTTTTAAAATTTATTCATAACAATAATAATCGCAAAAAAAAAGTCGAGACTGATTTGATAAGATCAGTTTCATGCATCTTCAAAAAAAAAAAAAAAAAGTCTGATTAGACCTCGTCCACATATCATATCTCAAAAAATTATTTTTTTTTTTTAGCAGTTTAATTTCCTCTTCCAAAATAAAATTCAATTCAATCCTAAATTGTACTTTTCTATTTCTCCAATTAAACATCATGAAAAAGTTAATTATGCATCAATCAATATTTTTCAAACCATTTTTTTGTTTATTTAATCAATTTAAAACCTTATTTCCAAATGTCAACAACTGTTAACTATAAATTTCAAAAAAACAAAAAAAAGAGAGAGAGAGAAAAAAAAAGAAAAATACAAAAATACAAATCTAAAAATTAATTGTTACAAATACATTTCTGAAATGATTTCTAAATTAAAAATTTCTTCAAATTTTGCAGTTATAAGCTAGGTGATTTGTACTTTTACTTTACATTTTTACATCTGAATTCAATTTTATTACAAATTTTTTCTTTTTATACTAAAATTTCTTCATGGATCAGTGAATTAATTCAAAAAAAAAAAATTTTTTTTTGAATTAATAAAATGAATTGCATACATATTTTCTATGCTATCTATTAAACATTTTAAAATTGTATATTACAAATTGAAAAGAAAAAAATTGAGAATAAATGTAATAGTTTTAAGAGCAAATGAGAATTAATGACATAATTTTTGAGGAATTAATTAATCAAATAAATTTTACTTATCAACAATACTTTTCTAAATGTTTAATTATAAAGTTTCAAAAAAAAAATATTTATTTTTGAAATTTATTTTTTATGCTTTTTTCTTATTATTGTTATTACTCTACTAGATAATACTAAAATGATATATTCTATTATATATTATGGTGTAAGCCTAATTAAATTTAACCTAGCTTGTGGATAAAAATAAAAAAAGCTATTCTCGTAATGGAGCTCATAAAGCTAATAAGCTTCCTTAACAGTATATGGCGGCTTTGGTCTATTGATTACTTACTTACTTACTTACTTAGTTATTTCGTTTCTTAACAAAGCCTTTATCAATTATATAATGCTTTCTACTAATCTCGTTACTATCTCATTTCATTCTCACTAAACAATAAGCAATAAAATCTTTTCTTTTATTTTTTATTGAAAAAGCTTTATGCTAATTTGTTATTTGTCATACTATTTGCGCTTAATTTGCAGCATATATTTTCTTTTTTTTTTTCTTTTTCAATAAGATTAATAATATCTGTTAGTTTTTTTTTTTTTTTTTAAATTAATCTATTTCTATTATTGATGATCTTATGCATTTTCCTAGAGCGCAAAAAAAAAATAATGGAAGCAAAAAAAAAAATTTTTTTTTAATCTGTAATTTAAAAAAAAAGAGAGAGAGAGACTGAAAAGATTTAGATTAGATGAATTTAAAAGTACAATGGAAAAGGTGAAATTTATCAATTAATTTGATTAAATATCATAAATTGTTCCAAGGAAGAAAAAAAAACTGATTGAAACTGAAATTAACTTCAAAATGATTGCAAAAATTACAAACAATAAGTGGTAGAAATAAGAAGAAAGATTGAAAATGAAATTGTTAAAGAAGAAATAAATTTAGTTTAGTTAGAAATAAAATATTTAAAAATTAAAAAAATAAGAAATGCATTTGAAAGAGGGAGAGAGAGAGAGAGAGAGAGAGATGTGAACACTTCTAGCAAATAAAAAATAAGTTGATTGACAATAGCAAAAAAAAAAAACTTTTTTTTTTAAAGTATAAATTATAATGGAAATATGAAGCATACCGTACCTAACAATGATGTTTTAGCTCTTGAAACATTTTTCATCTATTTCAAATTTATGAAATAGAAAAAAAATTTTCTTTTTTTTTTTTTTTTTGA